GGGGTGGTGGGGTGGTTTTGGGGGGGGAGAAACACATCGGGTCGTACGTTCCATTATGCAGCAGTGGCTGGCACATGGAGTCGTTGGTTCTCTGGTGATACGATCCACGATTTATCATCGGCCTGCCGCCGTCCATTGATAAATTCCACGCATTCATAAAGGTATACATGAGGCTTTCTGGAGATGGTAAATTAGAAAAATGAGGATGTACGGGGTGGGGGAGGGTTGAGGGTGTAACTGAGCAGGATTCGTTATGCGATATTCTTTTGTTGATTATTTTATTTATTTTATTTTATTTTTGTAACGAAATTTTTCTTGCAACTCAAAAATCGGATTAAGTCAATTATTAAAATGTTTTTTTTTTTGGTTTTATTTCGGGTGGGGATCAATGGATTTTTTAGGTCGATCGGTAGTTCAATTGGAAATTGGAAATTGGAAATTGGAAATTGTTTATTACTTGGTGTCGCTGCTGGTTTTAACTTGATGGATAGTGTTGTTTAATTTATAACTTATTTATCTGAGTGATATGTCTCTCCTGCTGAGCAATTCACGCGTGATTCTTGCGTATGTCACGCGTAATAATGACCAGCAATTGTGGGAATAGCTTCGGGTCACGCTCATCCACTTCACAATGTTTATATTCATCAGTGCAATTAACGCGACAGGGGATAACGATTTTGTGAGGTAGTGGGGTTTTTCTTATTTTTTTTTTCTTTTTTCAAGAACTTAGGAATTCTGGGACTTGTAAATGGATGTCGTAATGGGATATTGCAGTAGACAAATTCGATTCCAAGAAAAAATTCCAGAGCTTCAAATGTGCCAGCCATGTGGTTGTCTTCCAATATTGTCCCTTGGACACTTGAAGTCTGGAGTTTTCGGTTGGCAGATTTAAAATGCCAAAGGTCAGAATCAGCTGATTGTTTCTCATGAATAAATTTTAGCCTCTCAATTTTTTTGCTGCATATTGCTTGACTTTTTAAGAAGTAATGGGTTTTTATTCTCTCGTTTATTTATTTCGGTGGACGGTCGAGATTTTGGGGAATTTTATTTCTACACGTTCTTAACGAAAAAAATTGTTTCCTTTCTTGATAAATATCACAATTTAGTGGAGAATTCGAATTCTGATATGAAATGTTGAGTAGCAGAAAATTTTTGAGAGTCCGATTATATCAGAAATGAACGATTAAATTATAAATGTCAAGTTAACATCGAAATTATCGAAATAATTAAAAATAAAAATATAAATAATTCAATTCATCACCAATTTTTGGTAAAAGTGAAAATCAGTCTGAAAAATCAAAAGCTGTAAATATCGCTCGCGGGTTTCGATTTTTTTTTTGAAAATTGAAAGAAACTCGAAATTTCGAAACCGCAGAAGAATTAATTGTTTACAAAATTCCGTTCCATTGTTAATTAATTCGAGATTCAATGAAGCGGATGATAATAGAAAATCCTGGAAAGCAATTTTTTTCATTAATATTTTTTTTTCATTAATATTATTTTTTTTATGGATTTTTTTGGATTTTCAAAATATGTCTTCAGAATTTTGACCATTTTTTTTCGCATTCCTCACTCCTCGGGTGATTTTAATACACCAAGGCACATTGATCAGGTTTCTTGGCTGAATAAATCGGGTGTGGCCACTGTTTCAATGCACGTTTAATGTTTATCTCGTTGCATTCAGAGACTTGTCCAAACAAAGTGGAGGTGACAGTTGTTATGGCGTCTGGAATTTAACCTATTAAATCTCCCCACATTACAACTTCAACAATCATGGGGAACAAGAATCATTCATTTATTTATCAAACACTAGAACATTTTTAGAAAAACCCGCGAGAAAAATTATACCAATTAAAAATAATTACGTCCTCAATTTTTCACGTTTTTCGATATTTAAACAAATATAAATAGATAAATTAATTATCTAGCGATTGGTCAATTGATAGACTCTCAAGGGGAATTCCCCAAAAATAAAAAACAACGGACATATGAATGAATTTAGAATTTTAATTGTCTAATTAGATTGATTACGCAATTAGAAAGGGGGAAAATGAGGTTTCTTAAGTATTAAATCTGATAATAATTTAATAATAATAATTTTCAGTAGAAGACTTATAATTTTAAATAATCTAAAATCGAAATAAATAAAATGAAATAGTAATAAATATAATTCAGTACTGTACTGATCCGATTTAAATAAAATTCGCGGTCTGTGTTCTCCACCGATAATTCGCCCCAGATAAAATTCAAAAATCGCTCAATCGATTGGAAAAGTTCTGGGGAATTTTAATAACGATGAGCACTTTTTTTTTCCCTCCGAAATATCGTAAAGATAACCACTTTATTGGCGAGAGGAGCCACTGCTCGTAAAACTGTGGCGTTTAATAGCTCGCGGACACTTGGAAAGTTGGTTCACTGTCACCGGTAATGATGCGTGATGACAAGTCGCGGTTTTTTTTTATTTTTGAAAATGACGTTTTGAGGTGCATCCGTTTTACTGGCGTTTCCGTGATCTTCAAGAGCAATTTTTGGGGAATTCTCTGGAAATAGAACAAAAAAAAATTTCTACTCATGAAAATCGAACATCAAATACAATTTAATTTCCAATTAATCGACAGTTTTACAAATTCACAAATTAAATTGAAGAGATTGACGATTCCCGGGATTAACATTATTAACCGATTTATCAATGAATAAATCCGCGT